TGTTCCTGGTAAGAGTTATTCTCAGATATTTTATTTTTTTAGTAACTATTGTAAAGGGTTTGGAAGGAAGATTGGGCAATCTACTTCCATAGTGATACCACCTCAGAAACCCAAGGAGGGGTCGCTATGAGTCGGATCCAACTCGATGGCAGGGTTTTTTTTTGTTATTTATTATTATTATTATTGTAAAGTGTATTGATTTCCTGATTTCTTTTTCAACAATCTCTTTGCCAGTATAGAGGAATCAAACTGATTTTTGAATGTTGATCTTGTATCCTGCTGTGATACTAAACCTCTCAATTAGTTCCAGTAGATTTTTGACTGAGTCTCTTGGGTTTTCTAGGTATAGGATCATATCATCAGCAAATAGGGATAGTTTGACTTCTTCCTTACCAATCTGGATGCTTTTAATATCCCTTTCTTGCCTTATTGCACTGGCTAGGACTTCCAATACAATGTTGAATAGAAGTGGTGATAGAGGGCATCCTTTTTGACTCACAGAGTATTTAAGAAGCAGCAACTGAGTGCATTGGAGTAAAAGTTTTCCTTTTCTAGGTAAATCATCAGGGGTCTTAGGTGAGTTGACCGTCACTGCTCAAGTTACCTGATGTTAATCAGAAAAAACCTTCTGCAGAGGTCAATAGATTCAATATAATCCCAATCAAAATTCTAACAGAGCTTTTTGCAGAAATAGACAACCTGATACTAAAATTGATGTAGAACTATAAAGAACCAAAAATAGCCAAAACAAGTTTTGAAAAGAAAAACATAGTTAAAGGACTTGTGCTCTCTGATTTCAAGGCTTATTTTAAAGTGACAATAATAAAGACTGTATGGTATTACATCCTACTTTGGTGAGAAGTTACTGGGGGTCTTAAAAGCTTTTGAGCAGCCGTCTAAGATGCTACTAGTGTTCTCCTCTCATCTGGAGCAAAGAAGAGTGAAGAAAAGCAAACTCATTTGGAAACAGTTAGTCCAAAGATATGATGGAGCACAAAGACCTCAGCTTTCATGACTCTGAGACCAGAAAAACTAGATACTGCACGGCTACCAATGCCAACCACTTGGAAAGGGCTCTAAATTGGAGATCCTGGATAGAGTGGGAGGAAAAATATGGAAAAAAATTAAAAAACACAAAAATGACCAGAATTACTGGTTGGTTAGAGACTGGTGGAACCTCTGAGACTATGGCCCCAGGTTATCCTTCAGGCCTGGAAATGAACTCACTTCCAAGGATTGGCTCTCAACCCAATAGTAGAAAGACCTCCAAGTAGCACACCTACTCCAGGGAGATGCATTCACCTACCCTTGGGAGATGCACCCCTTAGATCAATCAGGCATGAGACATCAGAGGGGCAGCATTCACATAGAGGGAAAGCTGGACAGACAGGAATACATAGATAAGAAGGACACATGGAGGGGGTAGTCACAGGGAGGAGAAGGGAGGAAAGTTTTTTATGGTTGGGGATTGCACTTGGGGCCATGAAATCAAGTGTGCATGAACTATTGAGAGTAAAACAAACGTGCTTTGTAAATTTACACCCAAATCACAATGAATACATAAATAAATAAAGACTGTATGGTATTAGCCTAAAGATAGACATATTAATCAATGAAACAATAGAGAATCCAGAAATAGATCCACACAGATATGGGCAGTAGATGTTTAATAGAGGTGCCAAAGGAATTCAATGGTGAAAGGATAATCTTTTCAACAGTGGTGCTGGAAATTCTGGGTAGTCATATACCATAACAAAACAAAACAAAAAGAACCTTGACCCTTATCTCACAACATATATAAAAATTAACTTGAAATGAATCATAGACATACATGTAAGAGCTAAAATGATAAAACTAGGGGGAAAATCTTTGTTAACTTGTGTCACTTAAATTGGTCTCTGAGTGAAAAAAATTAATTTGATTTCATCAAAATTTTTGGTTGTTGTTTTTCCAAAGGTGTTGTTGTTAGGTGCCTTTGAGCCTGTTCTGACTCATAGCAACACTGTATACGACAGAGTGAGACACTGCCCAGTCCTGCACCTGCCTCACAATCATTGGTACGTCTGCCATTGCTTCAGCCACTGTGTCAATCTATCTCCTTGAGGGTCTTCCTCTTTTTCACTGACCTTCTACTTTACGAAGTATGATGTCCTTCTCCGGGAACTGGTCCCTCCTGATAACATGCCCCGAGTAAGTGAGACTTCATCTGCAAGGTGAAGTCTCACCTCATTTCTAAGGAGCTATACTTCTTCCAAGACAGATTTATTCATTCTTATGGCAGTACATGGCCTATTTAATATTCTTTGACAACATCATAATTTAAAGTCATCAATTCTTCCTTGATCTTCCTTATTCATTGTCACACTTTTGCTTGCATTTAACCAAATTAAACAAAACAAAACAAAACAAAACACTGCATCAAGTTGATTCTCAAGTTGATTCTGACTCATAGCAACCCTACAGGGTTTCCAAGACTGTAATCTTTACTGCCAGCCTTCTGGTGAACTGCCTAATTCTTTAACCACTACGTCACAAGATCTCCTGCTCACATCTAAGGTGATTGAAAATACCATGGGCTAGGTCAGGTGTACCTTAGTCCTCAAAGTGCCATCTTTGCCTTTTAACACTTTGAAGAGGTCTTTTGCAGCAGATTTGCCTAATGCAGTAAGTCATTTGATTTCTTGACTGCTGCTTCCATGGACGTTGATTGTGGATCCAAGTAAAATGAAACCCCTGACAACTTTAGTATTTTTTCCATTTATCCTGATGTTGCTTATCAATCCAATTGTGAGGATCTTAGTTTTCTTTATGTTGAGGTATAATTCATACTAGTCTTTGAACTTCATCAGTAAGTGCTTCAAGTCTTCTTTGCTTTCAGCAAGCAAGATATCTCATCTGCATATTGCACGTTGTTAATGACTCTTCTTACAATCCTGATGCTACGTTCTTCTTCACACAGTCCAACTTCTTGGCATATCTGGTCAGCATACAGATTGAATATGTATGGTGAAAGAATACAACCCTGATGTACACCTTTTTTGATTTTAAATCACGCATATCTCCTTGTTCTGTTTGAACAACGGCCTCTTGGTCTATATACAAATTCCTCATGAACACAATTAAGTAATACAGAATTCCATTATTTGCAATGTTACCCATAATTTGTTATGATCCACACAATTGAATGTCTTTTCATACTCATTAAACATCTTTCTGTTATTCTATGCTTTCAGTGAAGACCCATCTAACATCAGCAATGATATCCTCATTCCAAATCCAGCTTGAATTTCTGGCAGTTCTCTGTTGATATACTGCTACAATCATTTTTTAATTATCTTCAGTAGCATTCTACTTGTGTGTGATATTAATGATATTGTTTGATAATTTATGCATTCTGTTAGATCATCTTTCTTTGGAATGGGCACAAATATGGATCTCTTCTAGTCATTTGGCCAGGTACCTGTCTTCCAAATTTCTTGGCACAGATGACTGAGCACTTCCATTTGTTGAAATATCTCAGTTGGTATTCCATCAATGCCTGGATCATCATTTTTCACCACTGCTTTCAATGCAGCTTGGATTTTTTCCTTTAATATCATTGGTTTTTGTTCATAAGCTACCTCCTAAAATGGTTGATTGTTGGCCAATTCTTTTTTGGTACAGTGACTCTGTGTGTTCCTTCCATGTTTCTTAGGTGCTTCCTGTATCATTCAGTATTTTGCCCATAGATCCTTCAATATTGCAACTCAAGGCTTGAATTTCTTCTTCAGCTCTTTCAGCTTGAGGAATAGTGAACATGTCCTTCCCTTTTGGCTTTCTAATGCCATTTCATTATAATACTTTACTTTGTCTTCTCAGGGAGCTCAGGTAGCATAGTGCCTAAGGCATTTGACTGTTAACCAGAAGGCTAGCGGTTCAAACCCACCAGCCACTCCTTGGAAGGAAGATTGGGCAATCTACTTCTGTAGTGATACTGCCTTGGAAACCCAAGAGGGGTGGCTATGAGTTGGATCTGACTCAACAGCAGTGAGTTCTCTTCTCAAGCCACCCTTTGGAATCTTCTGGTCAGCTCTTTTAAATCATTTCTTCCATTTGCTTTAATTACTTTCCATTCAAGATCAAGTTTCAGAATCTCCTCTGACATCCATTTTGGTCTTTTCTTCCCTTCTTATCTTTTCAATGACCTTTTACTTTCTTTATGTATGATGTCAATGATGTCATCCTACAATTTGTCTGGTCTTTGGTCACTAGTGTGCAATGCAGCAAATCTGTTTTTGAGATGATCTCTAAATTTGTATAGGATATATTTAAGGCCGTATTTTGGGTCTTGTGGACTTGTTTTAACTTTCCTCAGCTTTAACTTGAGCTTGCATGAGAGCAAATAATGGTCTGTTCCATAGTTGGCCCCTGGCCTTGTTCTGGCTTATAGTAAGCATCCCCATCATCTCTTTCCACAGATGTAGTCTGTTTGATTCCTGTGTATTCCATCTGGCATAGTCTGTGTGTATAGGTGCCATTTATGTTGTTGAAAAAAAGGTATTTGCAATGAATAAGTCTTTGGTCCTGCAAAATTCTATCATGGGATCTCCAGCATAGTTTCTTTCACCAAGACCATATTTTCTAACTACTCATTCTTCTTTGTTTCCAACTTTCATAGTCAATACATGTTGATTGCATGTTTGATCAATTTGAGACTGTAGACTTGATAAAAATCTTCAATTTCTTCATCTTTGGCATTAGTGGTTGGTGTGTAAATTTGAATAATACTCGTATTAACTGGTAGGTCTTCCTTGTAGGCATTTGGATATTATCCTATCACTGACAGCATTGAACTTGAGGATAGATCTGGAAATGTTCTTTTTGACAATGTGTGCAATGCCATTCCTCTTTGATTTGTCATTCCTAGCGTAGTAGACCATATTGACTGTCTGATTCAAAATGGCCAATTCCAGGCTACTTCAGCTCACTAATGCCTAGGATTAGTGGCATTGACAGAATACCCATTGAGATGTTTCAACAAACGGATGCTGCACTGGAGGCACTTACTCGTCTATGCCAAGGAATTTGGGAGACAGCTACCTGGCCAATTGGCTGGAAGAGATCCATATTTGTACCCATTCCATACAAAAGTGATTCAACAGAATATGAAAATTACAGAACAATATCATTAATATCATATCACACACAAGTAAAATTTTGCTGAAGATAATTCAAAGATGGTTGCACCAGTAATTGACAGGCTACTTCCAGAGGTGAAAGCTGGATTCAGAAGAGGACATGGGATGAAGGATATCATTGCTTATGTCAGATGGATCTTGGCTGAAAGCAAAGAATACCAGAAAGATGTTTACTTGTGTTTCACTGACTATGCAAAAGCATTTGACTGTGTGGATCATAACAAACTATAGATAACGTTGAGAAGAACAGGAATTCCAGAGCACTTAGTTGTGCTTACAAGGAACCTGTGCATAGACCAGGAGGCTGTCATTTGAACAGAACAAGGGGATACTACATGGTTTAAAATCAGAAGGATGTGCATCAGGGTTGTATCCTTTCACCAAACTTATTCAATCTGTATGCTGAGCAAATGATCCAAGGAGCTGGACTATATGAAGAATGCAGCAACAGGATTGGAGGAAGACTCATTAACAACCTGCAATACACAGATGACACAACCTTGCTTGCTGAAAGTGAAGATAACTTGAAGCACTTACTGATGAAGATTAAAGACTACACTCTGCAGTATGGATTACATCTCAACATAAAGAAAACAAAATTCCTCACAACTGGACCAATAAGCAGCATCACGATAATGGAGAGAAGATTGAAGTTGTCAAATATTTCATATTACTTGTTCCACAACCAACACCAGTGGAAGCAGAATCAGTCAAGAAAGCAGACAATGTACTGCACTGGGCAAATCTGCTGAAGAGCAAAGATGTCTCTTTGAAGACTAAGGTGCACCTAACCCAAGCCATGGTGTTTTCGATTGCCTCATATGCATGTGAAAGCTGGACAATGAATAAGGAAGACCAAAAAAGAGTTGATGCTTTTAAGTTGTGCTACTGGTGAAGAATACTCAAAGTACCATGGACTGCCAGAAGAATGAACACATCTGTCCTAGAGGAAGTGCAGCCAGAATGCTCCTTGGAAGTGAGAATGGCCAGATTTCGTCTCACCTACTTTGGTCATGTCGTCAGAAGGGACCATGCCTTGGAGAAGGATATCATGCTTGGTAAGGTGGAGGGTCAGCAAAGAAGGTGAAGACCCTCAAGGAGATGGATTGACACAGTGGCTGCAATGATGGACTCTGGTATAGCAAAGATCGTGAGGATGGTGCACGACCAGGCAGTATTTCGCTCTATTGTCCATAGGGTTGCTATGAATCGAAGCCAACTCGACAGCACCTAACAACAATACCTGGGATATCCATCTTCATGTGTTCCATTTGATTTTTGATGGCTTCCAGTTTTCCTAGACTCATACTGTGTACATTCTATGTTCTTACTGTTAATGGATATATACAGCTGTTTCTTTTCATTTTGAGTTGTGCCCCATCAGCAATTGAAGGTCCCCAAAGCTTTACACCACTCACATCATTAAGTTCTACTTGGAGGAGGCAGTCTTCCCCAGTCACATTTGGAGTGCCTTCCAACCTGACGGGCTCATCTTCCAGCACTACATCAGACAAGATTCCCCTGCTATTTCAGAAGTTTTATGCTGCCCAAGTTTTTTAGAAGTAGATTGCTAGGTCCTTCCTTGTAATCTTAGTCTGGAAGTGCCACTGAAACCTGTCTACCATGGTTGACCTAGCTGGTATTTGAAATATTAGTAGCATAGTTTCCAGCGTCACAGAAACACACAAGCCACCATAGTACAGCAAACTGATAGACGAGTTGTGGCTTTAAAACATACTGTTAAGAACATTAAAAAGCAAATCTCAGGCTGGGAAAAAATATTTGTAAAACATATCTGACAAAGGTCTTGCACCTACAAAACATAAAGAGCTCTCACAACTATAATAATAGGAACAACTATACAAAAAGAATACAAATAGCCCATTTGAATAAATATTTTGCCAAAGGTGATATAGAGATGGCCAATTAGCAAATAAATAAATGCTCAACATCATTAGCCACTAGGAAAATACAAATTAAGAACCACTATGAGATACCACTGTATAACCACTAGAAAACAAACAAAATCAAACCTATTGCTGTGGAGTCAATTCTGACTTATAGTGACCCTGTTGGACAGAGTAGAACAGCCCCAGGGTGTTTCTAAAGCTGTAATCTTTATGGAAGCAGATTGCCACATCTTTCTCTGTAGAGCACCTGGTTGGTTTGAACTGCCAATCTTGTGGTTAGCTGCCAAATGCTTTAATTGCTTAACCACCAGGACTCCTCACACATCCACTAGAACAGTTAAAATTGGAAACACTGACCTTATCTGGCATGGGAAAGGATGTGGAGCAACTGAAACGCTCATATAGTTACAGTGGGAATGTAAAATGGTCTAACCACTTGGAAACAATTTGGCAACTTCTTAAAAAGTCTTACACACCTAATACCTAACATAATATACACGTAACATATAATATTCACCTAACGTATGCCACAGCCATTCCATTCCTAGGATTTACCCTAGAAAAAGTATATATGCCCACAAATACTTGTACAGGGTCTTAGTGTGTGTGACTTTACTAGAAAATGTTATGCTATTTCCCAAAGTGGCTTGATCAGTGTGATAGTTGGAGCTGTGTGTCAACTTGGCTGGACCACAATTCTTGTGGTTTGAGCTGTTGTGGTGTGGTTATTCCCATGATGGGATCAGATGATTATGTTTTAAGCAGCCAATTCGTTGAAAGTGAGTTTCCCTAGGGGTGTGGCCTGCTTCCAGTATACCTGTGGACATTCTGGGAGAGGAGACATTCTTCTGTGGATCGGGATTCTGTTGTGCTGCCTATAACTGTCCGTGAGTGAACAATCCACCATTCGGCCTGGAGATCTTGGATTCATCATTTGTTGAAGTCAATAGTCAGTATACTGCCTGCCAGCCTTGAGCTCCTCAGCTCCTGCAGCTTCAAGAGTCGGGAAAAGCCTCCAGCTTGACGTTTGATCCAGGAACTTTGGACTTGCCAGCTTCTATGTGTGTGAGCCATTTTCCTAAGATAAATTTCTCTCTATATACATATATATAAGCTTTACTGGTTTTGTTTCTCTAGAGAACCCAGTCTAACACAATCAGTCTATTTCTTATCTGTAGTAAGGACAACTCTTTGGGCCTTGGTTTCCCCTGTGTTTCCTTCGGAAGATAAGAGAGTTGGATAGGTGATTTCTGAGGCCTCTCAGTTCTGACATTCTTTGAATCTGTGGTCAAGGAGCCCCAAATAAGCAGCACTGGGAGCTGAGCATCCTTAAGAAAAAGTCATAAAGGAGAGAGATGAACACAACCTATGTTTGGGGATGCAACGGTCCTAAAGTTAAAGATTGCTATCCAGGTAAGGACTTTGGCCCTGACAGAGCCTGGCAACTCTTACTTATCGACCATGACTTCTGCTCCTGCCTGCCCTTGAAGAATTTCCAAACATAGACCACAGCAAAGAGACAAGAGGTAAAAAATAAATAAATAAATAACAACCATTCAGAGACAAAGTTAAACCTGTCGCATAAAAACCAATGGTAAGCGATTTGTGTTAAGGAGGAGCAGGGCAGGTTCTGTCTGGGCAAGAAGTTGTCAGCCCTTTTCTTCTGGGAAGCCTTCTGAAAGAGGAGGGAATTTCACAGGCACATACTTGGTACAAAGGAAGCATCAGGCTGGCTGTATTTAAGAGAGGACAGGAATAGATTGGGGGGTGATGCCACTCTGACAGGAGTACACCACAAATGGGATGGCCTTAACAAATAGGAGCTGATTCTCTTACAGTTTGGAGGCTTTAAGTCTGAGTTCAAAGAGCCAGGCTCTAGGGGCTGGGTGAAAGCCCCTCGACCTTGGGCTTCAGCTCTGCCTCTTGCTCCCAGCCCACTGAAGCGCTAGAGGCATCTCTTCACTCAGGCAGCTACTGGCTGCTGAGGGTAACAAGCCCAAGGTGGACAAATAAAATGGCACAGTCCCGTCACCATACCACACGGTATGGTAGCATTAATTCAAGTCCATTATAAGTCCCGAGGTCGGCAGAGCATGGCAGGCTGCTGAACAACAACACAGCTACATGCAGGGTCCAAGCGCGTCATAAGCTAGAGACCGTTCCCAAAGCTGTTCCTTATATACGGGAAGCAGACCCCATCCCAAAGGCAGCTACTCAGCTGCTTGTGGTAGATCCCACCATGGAGTTGACTGCCAGTCTCATCATGGGGAATAATTACCACCAGCTGCCCAACCACTCAACGGGGCCCAGCCAAGTTGACATACAAATTTAACTACCACTGGGTAACTCTGGGAAGGGGCCAGGTAGGAATCGGTTGGTCTAACTATTGAATCTTTATTCCCTGAGCAAGGCTGCTGCCTCCCTAGAGGCATTTTGGCTACTCAGGGAGTGGAATGGGCCAGCCTTCCTGCTTCCCCTGGGGGCAGGCAGCCTCTGTGAGCTGGAGGGAGGGAGGAGCTCTGGCCACACCTCCATGGGTAGCCTCCAAGGGGCATTAGGGTCCTGGACTCCAATCAGAGGCTGACAGTGCTGGGCAAAATTGAGTGGTGCAGGAGTGAGAACCTCTGGGTTCTCACAGGGTGGATCACCTAGTTATCACGGCAGAATGGGTCCCTATCTCTGGCTGTTATGGGGAGAAAGGCAATTTTAGAATTGGACATTCAGGTAGACTCTCATCTTGGCTGCATCTCCTCCTATCCCCTCCCTATCCCCTACTTTTATTCTTTCACACATTCATGTCAGCGTTCATCCAGACATGTATACAACGATTGCCTAACAGGTGCTTAGCACCATGCTAGGTACTGGGGAGGCCAAAATGAACAAGACACATTCCTGGGCCTTGAGGAGCTCACAATCAAATGAAG